ATGGATCACATAGAAGAAGTAGCTTTATTTAATAAATGAAATTCAAAGAATGATTTATTTTATAAATGAAGTTCAAAAATGATGTATTTAATCATTAAAGTTAAACGAATCTCAAACAAATAATCTTAAAGAAATAATATCTCTTAAATAAATAATATTTCTTAACGAAATAATATCTCAATATCTTTTTGTAAAATCTTAATCTTTTTTATCTTCTCTTAGAAATCTTCTTATCCTTTTTTTCTTATCTTTCATTCGTTTCTATAAGATTTTTTTTTCTGGAGAAGCAGTTAAAATTTTGCTGCTACCCTGCTGCCTACGTTTTTTGTAGTGCTTGAGCGATGTTCTGTTTTAGAATAACCTTTGATATCTGCAGAACTTCTAAATTGCTTCGAGATCTGATCTGCTACTTCTTTCTTATTCACTACTAATTCTGTCTTTATTATTTAAAAAAATATTTTATAAAATGTTGATTTTATAAGATATTGATAAATGATTAAAAATATTTAAGAAATAATACCTAGGTAAAGATACTTTAATAACACATGATTAGTCACGATATACTACAACATTCGTTACATGGAGAAGATAATAAACTTGTTACATTGTCCATTTCCTCTGTAGACACATCTATTGCATGGGGCCGTCCTGAAACTAAACTCGGGAGAAAATCATCATCCCTGAATGCATGTGAGTTGCAGAAGAAAAAATGTCAGTCTTTTTAAAAGCATTAATGATATTATTTGGTATCATAGCAGATGGCAGAGCTGTGTCGACAAATCCAGCTATTTCATAAATTGATACAGTTTTCCCTGGATGACTCATCATCCATGAATCGATAGCAGTATTGTAAAACTTTTGGAATGGACTGTATAGGCCAACATCAAAGGGTCGCATTCGATGTGTTAAATGCGGAGGTAGTGTCAAAATGTGAACACCATTTGCTTTTGCTAACTCGAAGACGTCTAAACTTATGTAACTCTCATGGTTATCATAAATAAAAAATGATGGGTCCTTTGTATGAAAATTTTATAAAATGTTGCATTGTTTGAACAAAGAGTTGAGTATTCATTCAGCCTGATGGAGTTGCCAAATCCAAAGAATTATGCGGAGCACCAATCATCATGTGATCGCGGAAATTGACCCGAAGAAATATCAGAACAGGTGATAAATAATTTCCATCAGCACGGATAATACAACATGTTGTAACGAGAAATCCTTTTTCCGTACTTGTTACTTTACATACAGCTTTGGAACTTTTTTCAGCTATTATTTTTCCACTATTTTGAACTGTTGTAGTTTTAGTTTCATCTAAATTATAAATTTTTGACGGATCTCCAAGTCGCGGCTCTTTTTTTAATAATGTTTGACAGTTATCGAAAAAGGCCTCTACATGATGACGATTAAATGCCGTAGCTCGAGCCAAACTACATCCTTCCGGAGATCGAAGTGACAAATTTAGGTGTCTCTTAAAAAATCCTAACAACCAGTCCTCACCTGCTATTTTTTTCTCAATCCACGACGCAGGACACTTAATTTCATTAGCAACAGCAATTTCGTGTTCTAGTTTACGGCAGTCTTTTGTTGTCAATCCATAGAACATTTTGCAGCACATTTTTAAATAATCAGCATTGAATTTTCTTGAATCAGTAAAAACTTCTTGATGGCTAGTTTGATGTAAGTTCGAATTCCACACCAGGTGACTTTATAATTTTAATCTTGCGTCTTAGAGTTTCTCTTTTAACACCGCATCGATTAGCTACTGTTCTAATGCTACCTCCTTTAGCAAGCAAATCAATTGCTTTTTTCATATCGGTTTCCTCATATGTACCCTTAGACGACCTTCTTTTATATTTCCTAACCATTTTTATCGTTTTCTGGAAGAATATAAAAGAATTTGTATTGCCCAATTTCATCACGAAAACTTAACCTGATCTAATCTATTCAGACAAATTTGAATAGTCTATACATAACCATATGTACTCGTATAAAGAGATTTATCTAATTACATGTTTATCATAAAGACACGTGTAAAATACGATTACATAATTTTTTATGCATATACAGTTCTGCAGTTACGCAAATTGTTCTAAACTCCTGTTAGTATATGACCCATGGTGCTCCAGCAAGAGATGACCCATAGTGCCCCGATACGTCTAATATAAAAGATGGTGAAATATAACATCGAAGTAAACAATAAATGATTATCTGAACTGTAGAGAAAATGCAGAAAGATGTTTAGAATCAAGTATGTAATTCGTAATAACTATAGTACTATACTTTATAGAAAGAACGTATAAGAAATTATGAGAGGTAAATAATCACTTTCGCACCATGAAATTCTTTAACGGCATGTGAAAGATAACGGAAGTGGATCACTGCCATCTAGATACATAGTATGGGTAACTAAATATCAATCATATGATACCAATTGCACCAACCTAAACATTCTGGATTTCTCTAAACAGTTAATGACCGATGGTACCCCGTGACCCATGGAGCCCCGGTCTTCCCTATATGTTTATGCGAGAATCGGCCTGCAGAATGCTCGCACGTATAGTATTGTTTGTGTTGGTCGCTTCGATGCGCGATGTCGACTCGTGGTCTTTCTATATATCTATATACCACAATTATATATCCACTAACATTCAATGTTCGTGGATCATCGAAGTCGCAGTTCATGTATGATTGCAAAGGTTAAGCATTATTGAGTGATGTACAGCATTGGATGGATGACCGCTTAGGAAAATAAGGAAATTAATTTCCAAAAGAGGGGAAAGCATTTTTGTTTTCAATTATAATTTTGTCATGTTTTTTCTGGAATATGGTATTTATCAATAATATTTATTTTAATAATAAAATTGAATTAATTAATATAAAAAAAATTTTTTATGTCTCACAGACATTCCAATTCAACGGATATTAGGCGTTTCTACAATCTCTCTTCAACATTAAATCTACATTTCACGATGTTACTGCAATGTTCGCAATGTTGCAAATTAACGTTTTTGAGGTATTGATTCAACGTTAGTGTACTGTATGGGTGTATAGCTTTTTCACGAGGAAATGTGATATTTTCTACTAACGATCCTCTTGTTATAACATTTATCTAGGATTATAACATTTCTTTGACGTTATAGTCATTTCTTCAAATAATCCACATTCGAAATCTTTATTAAAAGAGGTTTTTTTATACTTTAAGAAATCAAACATTTCATTTAATATTCCAGGTTTAAATTTAAAGTTTTCGAACTTTCATGATAATGTTTTTAAACTAGGAAGTGGTATCCCTTGGCAAAGTTATTCCTCATAACCACTAGTTCCACAAGCAAATTTTAATTTTAGTGCATTATTTAATTTTAGTGCGCTTGAATTGTCGGGTTCAATCAATTTCGAATATGAACTTTCTTGAATAATGCTGTTATTTGATCTTAATTAAATATGTGACTTAAAACTTCTTTGTACTTATCAGTACTTATCAGTATCAGTTTTGCTTTTTAGAATCCTATTTTTGTACTGCAGAGTTTTCATTTTTCTCCTCATTATGATTAAATGTAAATGCTGTTTCTTTAGTAACTGTTTATATTCCTCATATTCTTTTTTTTGTTTCCATGAAAGTCCGATATGGATGATATATTTGCTGACAAAGCAACGAGCTACGAAATATCCTTTACGATAATTTGTACACCATAAATTATGTTATAACTTTTTTCTCTTTTAATACTTACTGTTTCAATAGCAATTTTTTCATTTTCAATGTTATTAGTTGCTTCTTCATTTGTACATTTACTGCTTTGCGTACTGGTTATATTTTAAGAACATTACACTCAGTATTGCCATCATTTTCTATGGTCGTCGGTATTTGCTTTAAAAAAAAAATAAAAAATTATTGGTATTGCATCTCATTTTAATTTATGTTTGCTTATATCAGCATCCCACATTTCTGGGGCAAAGTAAACCTACATCATAACAATAATTTCATTATATACATTACACAATTATAATTGTAAGACAAACATAAAAATTTTAGAAAATCTATTATTAACTTTAATTAATATTATGATTATTATTGTATCATAGTAAAGTAATACATAATTTCTAACTCATAAAGAGAGTTGTTTGTGCCCAATTGTTAGAACATTTTGTATTCATAAAGTCTGACGTATCTTTTGGAAAAGCTTTCATTTTGTAATCTTCTACTGCGGAGTTGTTGCAAAATGATGCTGCACACCCACCCATTTTTGCAGTGAACGACTATCATGAGCGAATAATCGACAATCGTACATGAGCGCATCCAGAGAGATTAGGCTAGGTTTCAAAAAAAAAGAGAACGTATATCATTCTCTCTTGTAGGATTTTGCCTACTTATCTTATGACAAGACTCTGATCGAGGGTCTCTACCGTAATACAGATCGCAGCGCTCGCTAATCATGTATTGTATTAGGTGTACAAAAAAGTTCTGAGCTTTTTTTTGTAAAATTCAATCTTTATTTAAAAACAAACGAAAAAATATTAATCAGCGAAATATTCTCCAGTTTATATCCAGTTTATATCCAGTTTATATCCAGTTTATATCCAGCAGTGCTTGCAATTCGTCCGTTTCAATCTTTTCAGGGCGTCCAGCACGCGATTCATCTTTAAGACTGAAATCTCCTTGGCGAAACTTTTGATACCACCTTTTGCATGTTGCATGACTTACAGCGTTCTCTCCATATGCAGCACAAATCATTTCAGTGGCTTCAGCAGCATTTTTCTTCAGATGAAACGCGAAGTGGATGGAAAATCGAATATGCTCTTTTGTAATTGCCATCGTGAACACTACTGATTTTTGAGGTTATGTGCATCAAACGCCAAACCGTATCGCATTTCAGGAGGTTAAATGTTACTGTTTTAAAACCCCAAAAGGGCGGGAAGATATATAAAATTTAAATTGTTATTTCGGTTGTATCAAATCTAAAGCTCAGAACTTTTTTGTACACCTAATATATCACTAGCACTCCTTGCGTAGAAAATGTTGGAAGGACACCACAAGGAATGCACGGAATGTGATCAATGACAATGTCGATGTATTTAAATCTAAAAAGTTACAGATCTGAACTTTGCGTCGTAATATCTCCGCTTATAAGAGAAAAAAATAAAAGTACGTATAATACAATCGGAGTATAAGCTATTGATTAAGTATAGAATAAGTGATCCAACAAAGATCCATGTAAATTTCAGAGGCTTATATCTCTTTCAATAATTGAGTTGAAGATCTGAGTTTTGGCATACAGTTTATGAATTTAATTGGCTACATACTGTAACAATAACTCTTAAGTTATTTTTTAAGTTTAATATAATTTCGATTATTTTAAAAAATGGTAAGTAATTCATTCTGTACAAGGATTGTGTACACAATGAACCATACTATTTTTAATAATAAACTACATGTTTTATATTGCAAATTGTTGAGATTATTTTTGTTGTTGCTATATTTTAAAATATTTAGAAAATAGATAATTATTCAATGATAAGAATTCATGGGGCCGATCACCGCGTTTTTCTACCAGAAGAACTCCTTTTGTTTTGAGTGAAAACGCGTTGAATGACTATATTTTTATTAAGATTTTAGGTGGAGGGAGGGATCGTATTCTACATAATTACCACAATGAATTATTATTTTGAAGGTATCGTAAAAAAAATTGTGTGGACTACAATAAACCATGATTTCATTGGTTACTACATTAAAATGATTCATTGTAGACTACCTAACTTTTTCAATGATAAGTTTCAAAATAATGTGGTAAAATAATACAACGGAAAAAGTTACAAAATAATAAAGTTAAAGGTGCACACAAAGCTATTGCAAATTGAAAAAATAATAGGTATAACAACATAAAAAATGCGTAAAACTTACGAAAAAAATTCATTTTGCAACCCAAAATTCTTAAAATGTGATATGTATATTACATGGCTATTCTTGGCGCGATCTCCCAGTCGACTCAGGAGCCGAGAAGGGATTCAAATGCGAGTCGCTACATAATAACAGTACAATCTAGTAACATCGTATTTACGAAATATCACAATGGTTTATATTATTGATTCATTATTGGACTACATACTCTATTTAAAACTCGAGACAGCCATTACTGAGATCCGACAATCTCAATTTGGAGCAACTCGCTGGCTCGCATAAAGAAACACGACAATGTCTCATGACATGTCTTAGCGCCGAGAGACTACTACGTCTCTAGATAAAAGCAAAAAAATGGAATTTATATTATATAGACACATATGAAATAATACAAAAAAAATCAACAAAAGACATGAAAAACTTGTTAAACAGATGGAAAGAAAAAGAATTCATTAATGATTTATTAATGATGAATTATTGATTTGCGGAAATTTATTAACAATTGACGGTATCTTACCTAAAGCCTATGGTAGCACTCCATTAAGAATTATAATTACTACTATCAATAGCCTATTTGTATAAATTAATATATTTTAAGCAAAATTATAGAAAATACCAGTTTCATCAAAAATAGTCGACAGAAAATCGAAAAATGTGACATTATGTGAAGAAGAAGTTTTAATATCTCTAGGTGTAACGTCACTTTACACAAATTCCTGTGGAATTAGCTTTCGCTAATATTGAAAAAAGATGGCAGTGCATATCACCAGCAACAAAAATTCCATTAGATAAATTTAAGATCGGCGCAAGAATAATACTTCATTCATTAATTTTATATGTATTTAATAATTTCTTACAAAGAAATATTTGGTGTGCGAATGGAATCTCCTCTCTCACTTATAATGGCTGACATAACGGTGCAGGATATCGAGTCATTAGATATTGAAGATTAATTCAGGATAGCGTTCTTTTTTAGATATGTTGACGATATTTTGTTAGTTATCCCAAAAGACAAAATAGATGAAACACTCATGATTTTCAACTCTATGTGTAAACGTCTACATTTTATAAAAATAGAAACGAACTATCTCAAATTAATTTCTTAGACGTAAAATTAATTAGAAAAGACCACAATATCATATTCGACTTATTTAAAAAGAACACTTCGGATAGATACCTAAATTACTACTATCATCCAATAACATAAAAAAGGAGTTATCTGTAGTAATGACAAAGGAATTATAACAAAATCTTTACCATTCCATACATTAGGTGTTTCTAAAAAATTGTCGACTATTGCCAACAAAATCAACATGCATACTGCATTCACAATTCCTTACAAATTAAATAGATTTATTGTTTAGGCAAGGACAACACAAATAAAATGAACAAATGCGATGTAGTGTACAAAATGGACTGTAAGGATTGTAATGCCACGTAGGACAAACAAAAAGGCAATTAGGAACCAGAGTTAAAGAACACATTAAAGATATTAATAAAAGTGATTGTACCTCATTTCTGAACATACATTATACCTATAAAAATTATGAATTCGACTGAAATAACGTGCATGTCTTAGACAATAAACCATCTTAGATAAAAAGAACGGTATCTGAAATAATACATATTAAAAAACAAACAATAGGTCAAAACAAACAAACGAACACTTAACATTCATCCAGCGCTTACCTCCCAATCTTGGATCGTCTTTCCCCACTACCTCATATTGTACTAATCAACAATATGATAATTAGATATGTACATCTTAATAGTTATTCTGTACTGTATAACCAACAAGGAAGATTACATTAGTTTTAATATTCACACTGAATCATTGACAGAGAAATTACAGGTAATCAGATCTGCACATGTGCACATTTTCTGATCCGTCAAGCCGGATTCTCGCCGGCAACCGCAGTGTCGGGTGCGTCGCGTCCAGTTTGCTAGTGCTGATAAAAAAAAGTGAAGTGAGTGAGTGATGAGTGAGGATCTGCAAACTTTGCTGATGGCTCAGAGCGACATTCACGGTCGCATGACTCGGTCAGTGTCAAATCTGAAAAAGCTCGGCGCAGCAAGTATTACGCTGCACGCTGTCGAGACTCGCATCGTACTTCTAGATCGATTGTGGGCGAAATTTGAGGCTCAGCATGAACTCATCCGAGCTCAAGAGGCATTCGACAAGAGTGAATACAGCTCGACCGGATTTACTGATTCAGCCGAGATGACGTACGTCGAGCAATGAAGCCTCCTCAACGACTACGTCCAGAAATTCAGGGCGAAGGAGCCGAGTTCAGTCTCCAAATCAGAAGGTGGTAACGAGCCTTCCGGAAGAACATCTCTGCCTCGCCTAAAGATTTATTCCTTCTCTGGCACATTTGAAGACTGGCCTACATGCCGAGACATCTTCCAATCTATTGTCGGAGACAATTCGTCAATCTCAGCAGTCGAGAAACTACTTGAAGTTTTGTCTAGAGGGTTCTGCTGAAAAACTGATTCGACCATTGGCAGTGATCGGAGACAACTATCCACGCGCATGAGCTCTGCTGAGCAACCATTATGAAAATAAGAGGGAGTTATCGCGCTCCAATTTTTTCACGTTTACCACCGTGGCTAAGATAAAGAGCGACACCGCCGAGGAACTCAACCGCATCTACCACTCCGTAACCAGTGTAATCAACGGCCATCATCGACAGGCCTATCGGCTCGCCCTATGGTTTCGACCTGCTTAACTACCTGGTTATCGAACTCTTCGATCCGAAAATTCGCCTGGAATGGGAGTCACTGTCAAGCGCCTCGACTGACGTGCCAACCCATGAGGCGCTGATGGACTTCATAACGAAAAGGGCACTTACACTCAACGCCGCCAAGCCAAAATCTCTCAAGGTCTCCGAGGACCCGCCGCGATCTGCAAAGTCACATCACGTCAAGAGACACACCGAATCTCCACAGTGCGTCCTATGTAAAGGCAAGCACCACGTGATCGTGTGCAAAAAATTCAAGGAAAAATCCGCTGTTGACCGCAAGGCCGTCGCCGAAACTCATAGACTGTGCTTCAACTGCCTCGGCTCTCACCCAATCGCGAAGTGTCAGTCTACGAGAATGTGTATCACGTGTCTCGCCATCACTCGATGTTGCACGACACGTACGTCTCACCAAAACCCCAAGAGGTCAGCTCACTGTCGGTGGTGCGCTGCGACAACGACTACAAGGCTATTCTGCTCGCAACTGCGCGAGTATCCATCGCTGATCGTTACGGCAACCGGCACACAACTCGCGTGCTCATCGATCAAGAGTCGGAAGTATCTTTGATTTCAAAGGCCTTGGTCCAGCGCTCTGCCATGATCTCGATTCGCAGTCGAGATCGTCGACATCAGCGGCAAAAGCTCCGGGCCTAGCAGAGAAAAGGTGACTCTCAACGTACCCTCGTAAACCACGGAGACCAAGTTCACCGCCGAACTCTTCATTCTGCCGCGTTTGTCGCTGTACCAAGGCGCAAACGCAATGACCAAGACGGAGTGGCCGCACTTGAAGAGGCTCCAACTAACTAATCCGGATTACTTAGCAAACGATTCCATTGAGCTACTGTTTGGAGCGGAAGTATGCTCAATCATCCTCCAAGATGGTCTTCGCAAAGGCCTCCAAGCACCTATCGCTCAGAAAACTCTGCTCGGCTGGATCCTGTCAGGAGGCTGCGACCAGGCAACCAACTTGACGGAGCGCCGCTCGCTTCAGTGCACCGCTGATCATGAGCTAGCCGAACTCGTGCACCGCTTTTGGGAGCAGGGAGAGAGACGCCCGCTCTCGCCGCTCACGCCAAAGGAACAGCAGTGCGAAGACATTTTTGCACAGCATCAACGTACTGCCGAAGGACGGTACATAATACGACTTTCACATCTCCGCCGACGATGCTAGCTGAGACTCGAAAACCCGCTGAACGACTCTTGACCGCCATGGAGTGACGCTATGAGCGAGACTCACGATTCGGAGACTTCTACCGCGCTTTCCTGAAGGAGTACGAGGACTTGAATCATATGGAATTGGCACGAAAACCTCCGAATTCCAGTGAGGATAGATGCTATCTTTCTCATCACGGCGTGCTCCGAGAATCCAGCACTACTACCAAGCTCAGAGTCATCTTCAACGGATCGCAACGTACAAGGTCCGGTGAGTCACTTAATACTCAACTTCTGGTCGGTGCCAACCTCTGCTGCCACTCCTCGCGAACGTACTTCTGCGTTGGCGGAGGCATCGTTACGCGTTTGTAACTGACATCGAGAAGATGTATCGCCAAATTCTCGTTAACCCAGAAGATCAAAAATAATCAATGTATTCTCTAGCGGCACAATGTTAACGATCCGATTCGCGCATATACTTTAAAAACAGTCACTTACGGTCTCGCGTGCGCGCCATTTCTCGCCATCCGCGCTCTTCGTCAACTGGCCGACGACGAAGGATTTCATTATCCGCGAGGCGCGGATACGTTACGACACGGCTGCTACGTCGACGACATCGTAACCGGAGCACATTGCAAAGCCGACGCTATCACTCTACAAATCGAGCTCCGCAAACTCTGCATGGCGGGCGGGTTTTCTCTGCGAAAATGGGCCGCCAACTGCCAGGACCTTCTCCGCGACATTCCGCCCGAGCACTGTCTTACCAGAGACCCGCTAGCTTGGAAGCAAGACAACCACTCAACTCTGGAATTGCGCTGGTATCCGGCTAGTGATGAATTCGCCTTCTCTGTTCTTCCTCGCATCGTCGTCACTTTCACCAAGAGAAGCTTGCTGGCGGAAACTGCCCGACTCTTCAACCCGCTCGGATAGCTGGCTCCAATAATAATTTAAGCGAAAATCTTAATTCAGTCTGCCTGGCTGCAGCAGTTAAACTGGGACGCCCCGCTGCCGTCGACCATCACTGTGAAGTGGAAGCGGCTCTGGGAGGAACTTCCACTCCTCGAAAAGCTCAGAGTCAGCCGTTGGCTTGGCACCGGCGACACGAGCTCTCATCTCGAGCTACACGGCTTCGTAGACGCGTCCGAGAGAGGCTACGCCGCCGTGGTGTATCTGATGACAAAAGGCAAGGTCGCGTCGATTAAACTCGTATCTCTCCCGCGACTAGAACTCTGCGCCGCCGCCTTACTTTTAAGCATACTCGTGCACACGCGCTCTGTGTTGAAACTCGCTATGACTCCAGTAACCTTGTGGTCAGACTTCAAGGTCACACTCCATTGGATTCAGGGCCACGCCTCTCGCTGGAAGACGTACGTGGCCAATCGAGTATCTCAGATCTAGCAGCAACCTCCTGAGGCTCAATGGCGCCATGTCCCTGGCAAGGATAATCCCGCCGACTGCGCCTCCCGAGGACTTACACCACGCGAGCTCCTCGATCATCTCCTGTGGTGGACGGGTCCTACATGGCTATGCGGTAATCCGACGGAATAGCCAAGCGGAGACAAGGAACCAACAAGGACATTCCGGAGCAACGGCCACTACGCTCATTGCAGCCATCAGAAACAACCACGAGCCAGAAGAACTCCTCATGTTCTCATCACTGCATCAACTCCTGAAAGTAACCTTCTGGTGCGTACGCTGGCGCCGTCACCCAGTCAAATCTGCGGACAAGGAACACCACTGGTCAACACTACTCCCTGCTGAACTCGACACAACACTCCTGCAATGGATTCGCACAGTGCAGCTGCTGCATTACCCGGAAGAGATGACCGCAATCACAAATAAATGCTGTCTTCCAAGATTCAGTCACCTGCGAGCCCTCAACCCATACATAGACGACCATGGAATCCTACGAGTTGGAGAACGCCTCAAGCACGCAGCGCTGTCCTTCGACGAGCGGCATCCTCTCATCGTGCCTCCAAGATCGTGGCTCACGCGCTTGCTAGTGGAAGCCTATCATCGCCGCACTCTTCATGGAGGGGTTCAGTTGACTCTGGGGATACTCGACTCCGGTTCTGGATTCCACGAAGTCGAGCTGTAGTCAAGAGACTGGCACTGCACCAATGCGTGACATGCACTCGTGTGACGTGGAAAGCTGCTACTCCTCAACCTCCAATGGGAAGCCTTCCTCCAGGAAGAGTGACTCCTGCACAGCCATTTCTCAGAGTGGGCATCGACTACGCCGGACCTATTTTCATCAGGACGATCAAAGGGCGTGGTCATAGTGCTCACAAAGCCTTCATTGCTATTTTTGCTTATTTCAGCTCTAAAGCAGTTCACCTTGAGGCTGTTTCAGACTACACCACCGACGCTTTCCTGGCTGCCCTCCGCCGTTTCACATCTCACCGAGGGCTTTGCTCGGATATCTACTCCGACTGCGGCACCAATTTTTCGGGAGCTGACAGACAACTGCGAGAAATGCTCTTCCTCAGAAGGACGCCATATCGCATACGTCGCCTCATCAGAAGGAATCCGGTGGCACTTTAACCCCCCTTCTGCACCACACTTTGGCGGTCTCTGGGAGGCGGCCGTGAAGTCAGCAAAGTATCACCTGCGCAGAACCATCGGCGACTCCAGACTCACCTTCGAGGAGATGAGCACACTGCTTGCACAAGTAGAGGCATGCATGAATTCCCGGCCCATGCATGCACTCTCTGACGACTCCGACGACCTTACAGTTCTGACACAAGATCACCTACTCATCGGGGCCATCCCTGAGCCATCATTGGCTGAAGACAAGACAAACTTAATTTCTAGGTGGCAACTAATTCAAAGGATGAGAGACCACTTTTGGTCATGCGAGTACCTGCATACTCTGGCTACCAGACCGAAGTGGATTAAAGAAGCTTCGTCACCATCGGATCGCTCTGTCTCATCCGCTCCGAAATAGCACCGTCTAACAAGTGGCCACTGGCACGGATCACGCAGCTGCATCCTAGAGACGACGGCGTGATGCGAGTGGTCACACTCAAAACGGCCTCATCCAAATTGATTCGTCCACTAATCAAATTGGTGTTACTGCCAGAAGACGCCAATGCGGTCTCCTCACTCGAAAATGCGCCGGCCGAGAAGAAAAGCGGGGAATAGTCATTTCGCATGTCCGTAAATTGTGCGATTTTATTTTCATTTTTTTTTGTGTAACTCTCAACCGCGTAAATTAAATATTCGCGTTTTCAATTTGTAATTAGAAATAATTTGTAATTAGAAATCATTTGTGATTAGAATTGCTTTCGATCAAACAAGCCACGCCCGAGATCATGTCAAGATGCACATGTCGTCACGGAGATGACGAGGCGGGCGGGAATGTTTGAGATCATAAATTCATAAAAAAATAATAATTCTTGTCGTTTAATCAATATCAATTGTCGGTGGACGTGTGCTTAAAATGAGTCAGTAAATTCATCTCGAGCACAATCTCAATTCTCACAAGAGTCATTAATTTGTCGTTTTTTTGGTAATAAATTAATTCGTTTATACACACACA